ATGAACCACAGGCTGAAAGCACTCTTGCTAAAGGCACCCAACCTGAGACTCGTGGAAAGTGCCACTTATTCAGAGATTACCAAATTCAGCACCTAAAACTGATGGTTTCACAGTATCATATATGTAAGGAGACACAAAAGTTCCATTCTAGCAAGAATACGGGCATCATACACGCAATAAAACTTATTGTGACTAATCCAACTCTGATTATATGAATACTAACAGAAGGTGTTAGCTCAGGGACCATTAAAAATAGCACTACAGACCACATAGATTCTTCTTCAAGTTAAAAACTGTGAGATTTCACACTTGCCAGAGCTTCCTGAGGAGCTCACTGTATGCAGCAGGCAGAAGACAGAATGGGGCAAAAGGAATCACTGCAGGTCAAGACAGATTTCTGCCCTTTCCACAGTACATCCTTATTAGCATCAACAGAAGCAAGGAGCTTGTGGCAGTCATGTCAAAAATTGCAGCTGCTTAGAAAACGAAATGGATGTATTAAAAGCAAAGTGCCAAAACCATTTCTTCACACACATGCATTATTACACAAAGGCTTTTATTTAAGGATTAAAGTATCTTTTGTAGAAGCCGGTGAAGTAAGAATCACGGCAGTAAAACGTGAGAAAAGTTCTGCAAAAAGCTGTGTGTGATTTGTGAAAGATTCATTCTGCAGCCATCTGTAGCTGCTGACCAACATGCAGTGAAAAAAGTTCTCTTAAAAAAAAAAAAAAAGGCACTTCTGACCTGTGGAGTTAAGCAAACACTTTCCCAAATTCCACATAAACCAGTGAGTATTATTTGGCATCTACGTGCATTCCTGCCAAAAAAGCAGCTAAGCTGATGTGAATGCTCCTACTTTTCTCCACTTGGCATCAATTCCTATAGTTAATTATATTTTAAGTGCATTATTGCTGATCATTTCTGCATCAACGTCCACTTTCCACATTTATCTTCAAGCCTGATATTACTCTCCTGGACCAACTGAGCAAGCCACCAAGACACAATGAAATCATCAACATCCCATGTAAGACACAGCACAAACAATCTCAATTCAATCATTACAGCAGCAGATGTCAGAGAGCAATGGAACTGCACCAATCCCCTCCCAGTTGTACAAAAGGCCTCCATTGGTTAATTTACTTCAAGTTGCTTCAGCCTTTACACCCTACAGAAACTCTGCTGCAAAGATTTAGGTCACATTTCCTTCAAGTGTGCATGGGTGTGTGTATACTTTGTTAAAACTCCAAGAAATTAATTAAAAGCTCCTCACTGACTCTGTGTGGACTGAATCAAGACCTAGGTGAGTTCAAACACAAAACAATTACACTTAATTAAACATCACAACATCCTTGTGAATTAGTCAACTCATTTTTATAGGATAAATTGAGTCAAAGTCTCAGAGTTTGCTCATGGTCACACAGAGCTGATTGCCTAAGTTGCTTCTATTTTTGTTACTTATGCTCATCACATATTGAGAAAGTTTCTAAAAATCAAATATGCTCTAGGTCTAAATACAGGAAACAGAATGATTACAGTGCAACAGAATCTACTGGCTACAGTTCTGCTCCCCAGTCAATGGAATTCTGCCAGTCCAAACCAAAGTTTTTAGAGCTCTTTCTATATCAATTCAACTCCAGATGAGATTTTTGGGCATTTGGGTTTGCTTCTGAAACACAGGTTCAGATGTGATGTTGGGTCACTGAGAAGCAGAAGGATGATTACTCTTAAACTCAAACTGGCATTTCAGCTATATATAAACACTGTTACATTCCACCAGATAACACTAGTGAGCAGAAACCATTAATTCCCTTTTCCCCTTTTTAGGAACATTTGTTACCTACCTTTCTCCCAGTGCTGTGTCTCCAAACAGACCTCAGAAGAGTATTCCACTCATTCAATTACCAGCTGAAGTTCCTCATTTGTCCCATCTTTGATTTTTTTTTTTTCACCCACCAGAGCAAAATGAGCAAAACCAACAGTGATGTCTCGCTGCTTTCTGGTTTTGGCCAATTGAAGACAAGGGAAAAAGAGCTGTAAGCTTCATCCATTCTTAAGAGACAGAATAGCATCGAGAACAGTAACAAAACATTGTTTGGTTTTTGTTTTCCCACATGAATTTAAGTTTGTCAGCACCAAGATTTTTATTAAACGTAAAGCTTATGAGAATAATGTTTCTCTCACATATGTACAACCAAGGCTATCAGACCATCACCATTTCTGAGGGTGTGGTAGGTAACAAAACATTGTTGTTACACTAATTCACATCTTCACTGCATATCAGCATCAAAACATGACCATATTCCAGGGCTAGTCACATACTGGCATACTTGCAAATGAAATTAATACTTTTCCAGCAAATCCCATCACTCAAATTGGAAACAACTTGTAGACTGATACTTTCAGAAAGACAGGATGGACTTTGGTTCATCTACTAGAAAAATATACAGGACTAACTGGTTTTAAAGAGGGCTCAGTGAAAACTATTAAGTGCTATGATTTCTTTCCTGTTCTTTATATCTTTGTTTTTACAAACTGAAAGTTTATTTTGGGCTGAATATCCTACCATACCATTTCAGAAGTACCGTTCTGAGCAGTAACAGGCGAAACACAGAACACAGCTGACTAGTTTTATCATCACTGTTAAGATATTTGGAAGCCTACTACAAAGTCGTTTACTCTCAGTATCTGAAAAGCCAAGCATAAGCACCTTGTAGCTATTCACTTGGGTCAACAAAAGAAGGAATCCCTCCTTTCTTACAAAGCCTCTATGGGAAGTTTCTCCATTCATACTCAACAGAAGCTTACCAAAGCCTCTGTGTGCACCCCACTTTGGAGCATCTTTGACACCTGAAACTAGGCCAGACACTCAGGAGGGAAGCTTCATAGCCAGCAACAAGCTCAAGAATCAAAATATCTACTAAAAAACCTGAAGGTATACATCAGACACAGGTGATAAATGTGCTGTAGAGAAAAAAAATATCACTCCTATTAAGCTATTACAAATAGATATCTCCAAATTAGCAGTTCTCAAAGCAAGTCATCAGCCCTTAGCAGTGGTCTCACCTCATCCAATACACACAATTGTTTGGTTTTGGAACCTACCAGTGCTAACTGATACTTGTTCAGATGATAGAAGCTCCAATTAGTATTGTAAGCAAAGAAATAACCCCTCTGCTCACCGATCTCTACTGTCTGTGCAGCACATGGAGCTCCTACACACAACTGCAAACAGGCACTTAGGTGAGGGACAGCAGTGCTCCACCTGATGTGCACGTGCTGCCCAGGCTCCTATCAGGCTGCAGGACCATTTCCTGAGGATTACAGTGCCCTCCCAGTTGGATGCCATGGAACACTGAAAGCACTTGTGTTAACTTCTCATAACTCTTCTGGCAATGCTTCAAATGAACTACACCAACGCTATGCTAACTGAAGCAGTTGCGGGTAAGTCATAAAACTTCATCCAATTGCTACCAGTTAACATTTTGGAAGTGGCCTTTACTCCATCACTCACCCAGGCCTGCTGGCTTTCTTGTAGCTTTTCCACTCTTACACTGCACCACATCAACTAAAAGAGCATTCAAACCACCTCAACAACAATTCTAAGTTGTATAGAAGAAGGTTCCAATTTCAACCAAGACACCAGAACTACAGTATAATGGACGATGCTTTCTCAGCTAATGCCAAAACAAAGCACCTCCAGTGTACCTGAAGTACACTGATCAGTATCTTCCAGCTGATTCTATTTACAATCTTTGAAATAAGAGAGAAAAGCTTGGGTTTACAAAAGATACTAACCTGAGCTTTGTCAACTTAAAGGTCTCCTACTTCCAAAATAAAGTTCTTTGAAGCGCACAGCCTCATTCCCATCATTTTACACATTTCTCCTTCAACAGGATACCTTGTATCACACACAAGCTCTGAAAATATCAAGGGCAAAAGGAGTCGAGCTTGCAAGTTCATAGACCAACAATAATTAAACAGGAAATCTGGATTTTGTAATAGATATATATATTTTTTTTATAAAGGTGATGTTCTCCAAATACTCCAAAGATGTGTTAATCACCATAGCAGTCAAGCTGGAGGAGAAATCTAAGTAAGCACACCTAACATCCCCCCTGCGTCTGGCCTGGTGGCTTTTATTAAGCATCGCATCTGCAGAATGTCTTCCTCTCATCCCACAGAGCATCAAAGCTTACTTTGTTAAATGTACCAAGATGAGGAATGGTCAAATAAAAGATGATATACAGCAGAACAAAATATCCTCCTCTTGAGGGGAGAGAAAACAAACATCAGTCTACAAGTCAAACATATCCTGATGAAGGGCATCTGGATGTTATGCAGAAACTCTCATCCGTTGTCTGCTTTCTAGCATACAATCCCATTCTGATTTGGAAATTGACGCTGCTCACGCATCTTTCCAAGATAGAACTACAGCCAGCCTGCAGATACTGCCCATCTTTACACCCAGCAGAAAGTTAGAGTGCTGCTTCAGATGCTCTAGAAGACCCTGAGCAGACACACAGCTTGGAGTCATGGCAGATTACCCACAGAAGTTCACCATCCAACACAGACCGCGGCGGATGCTGGCCCCGAGGTGACGGTCAGGCACGGAGGGCTGCAGGAGCCCCACGGAGGTGACACCAGCGGTCCCACCACCCCCAGCACACACTGACGAGGGAATTGCTTCACGCAGCCATTTCTGGGCTGGGACCCAGCCGCCCTGAGCCAGGGTGCCACATGACGTAAGGGATGATGCCAGAAAACGAGTAGGGCACCTCCCGTACCTGTGTGCCGGGGCCACGGCCTCGCAGCGTCCGCCCGCTCCGCAGGTGGCCGTGGCCGGGCCCCGGGGTACGGGGAGTCCCGGGGCTGCGGCTCCGCACCGGGCCGGGGGCAGGAGGGGGCTCGGGAGCCGGCGCGGAGGCCTGGGGCGGCGGGCGGCCCGGGCGAGAGCCTTTGTTCCCGGCCGGGCGCCGCGCACAAAGGGCGGCCGCGCTCACCTGCGTGCGGGGCCGGGCCGGCCCCGGCGTGCTGCGGTGCGGGCGGCGGTGAGCGCGGGCGAGCGGAGCCGTGCGGAGCAGAGAGGAGAGGAGCGGCCGCCTCCTCCGTCGTGACTCACCGCGGCGGCCCGACGAGGCAGGGAGGGACGGAGGGAGGCGCCTGGGCGGCTCCGGGGGAGGGACCCGCCGCGTCCCCGCGCCCTGGGCAGCGGCGGCGCCGCAGGCACCACCCGAGAGCCGGCCGGGAGGAAGGGGCGGGGCCAGGCTGGAAGGGGCGGGACCGCAGCGGGGGCGTGGTCAGAAGGGAAGGGGGCGGGACCTGGTGGAAAAGGGGCGGGGCCTCCCGCAACTGGAGACAGCGGCTGCGGCCGGGAGCTTACCTGTGTGCCGCCGTCCCTGCAGTGCCGGATGTCCCCGCGAGCTCCATCCTTCCCTCTAGCTGTCCCGGGCAGCGCGGCAGGGCTGAGGAGTACCGCTCCGGTTGTACTGAATCAGACAAATCGCGTTCATGTTAGGCCAGGTGAGTGGCTGCTTTCCTAGAGTGCTCCACTAAGACTGTAAAGATACTGCAAAATTCAAACTCCAGCAAACACTGAACCTGCTATCTTCCAAGACCCTCCAGCTAGGACAAACACCCACCTGCTGCTTGTTCCAGCACTACCAGAGGCCCTATCTTAAGTCTTGGCAAAGTAACCCTTCCCTCACGCAGATCAAAGCAGAATAACAGCAGTGACCAGGGAGGAAATAGGAGTAACTGAAGACAAACCACGAGTGTGGCTCTGTTCTGTCACCCAGCTGCATTTCCATGCCCTGCTGAGCTGAACAGCAATGCTGCTTCCCTCTAATTCCTCCGCAAGCACACAAAGCCTTTTTATCTAAGTGTTATTTACTAAAAGGCATCTGTTTTATGCTTGGTATTTAACTTAATTGCATAAAAACAGTCACAGCAATGAAATAGGTGGCACTTCCTTTAGCAGCTTGCTACTTAATGACATCAAAGCTCGATGCCACTGAAATCCATACCCCACTGCCAGTTAATGAAGGTCTTAACATGAAAGCCTATGCAAAGAGCAAACCCAAGCTGCTGACAGGAACAGAAATGGTGCAAATACGCTGGGATCTGAGATCACTAGCACATACCCGCAGCACAGCAGGCAGTAATGATAATTAATTATTTAAGAAAAGAACACAGGAGCACCAGCTTAAGCTGAAAAAATATGCAGAAGCATCGCTCTGGGATCCTCCAGTTGGATTACCATTAATTAGCACAGTACACGAGTGTAAGGGAAATTTCCAAGAGCATCTTATGGCAGCGTACGATTAAGCCATCATCTGTATCTTTGCTATATTATCAGTTTTCTTCCTGTTAGCATCATGAACAAAACACAATTTCACAACAAAGTACTGTCTGGCTTTCCTATTCTAGTTTAATTTTAATTTAGCTGGCCAACTGTACAACAGCATAATGCAATTTTATAAGGCATCAGTGTAACATATTGCATTAATTTTTTGCAGACTCAGATGCTATATGGCTCCTTCTACCCTTCAAGAATTTTGCTTTCTTAAAACAAATGACTTTAGATCAGCTTCTGACTCACCTTCTTTTGCCACCAATAAGCTTACTGCAAGTTCTGCTTTCAAGCAAGGTCACATCTTGTCATTTCACAGTCACTTTTACTGTCAAAGGACACGATGGATGCTCCAGAAACCTCTGACCTCCTAGCTCTGAAAAAGATTTAGTATAACACTGTTCATAGAATCACAGAATTGTTCCATTTGGAAGTGACATTTAACAATCATCCAGTCTTACTTCCCTGCAATGAACAGGGACATCTACAGCTAGATCAGGCGGCTCCGTCTGGTCCAGCCTGGCCTTCACGTTCCCTGGGAACACATGGATCTTCATAAAATAAACAGAAGATGCAGTTCACTGCATTGTCTTAACCTATGTCACCCCACTTGCTGGGAACAAAACAGCTGATCAGCAGGGTTACAAAGACTAGTTACCTGAAGGCTCAGTTTCCCCTGTATTGTACAACTGTTGGATATCACATCATGAAAACCTAACAGATTAATTGGACTCTTCTTTTCAATATCTTCTAATCACTTTCTCTATTTAATGAGGCTGATGTTAGTTCTAATAAGCCACAACTTCACAAAACCTTCTCCCTTGAATCTCTGCTTGAGTTAAAAAAAATACTTTCTACTCACTCTTTCTCTGATCTCCAGTTCTCTTAATCAGCTCTGAAATTCATTTAGGATTCCTTCACAGTACAGCTGCTTCCAGCTTCCAAGTTCCTCTGCATTTGCTGGCATCTCTCTCTCATTAAGGGCCTGCAGCAGCATCTGTACACACAAACCTTGCTTTCATTATTCATCTGACTTAACCATGCAACAGTAATGAAAACTGCATTGCTCTCAAAGATGTGTATGGTATCAAACAAGGGAATTGTTTTTAATTTGAAATCTTTTCTTCTTTTGGTAATCTTTTATGCTTGAGACTTAGGCTGACAATTCCTGTCTGTCCAAATCATCCTGATGCAGAAACACTTTGGCAGTTCCTGAAGCAGCTCCATCACTCACTCACGTTTTCACACACACAGCTCTCTGTAGGGGCAGGAGGTCCACAACAGTAAGTTGAAATTCCCATGGCATCCCAGGTAATTAAATAAATAGTTCAGCTGCCTGAGTTGCCATGTTTAATGTTCAAGGAGGCACAATCACAGATTTTAAAGGCATGAATAAAAAAGCCCCTTAATGTAAAAAAGAAAAAAAACCAAATAAGCTAGAACTTATATCTTCTTGTTAATCCAGGTTTCATTTGTACAGTGCAAAACCTTCTCAGCTCTATGCTTTACTCCAGACCAGAACTACTTCCCCCTCATACTTGGTATTTACAAAGTTGCAAAGTACATTTTTATACCATAACATTACAGAGCTTAATTTCAGGCTCCCTCTTACAAGGATATTAACTGAATAAACAAAAGAGAAGATTTTTAACATTAACACTCTGTTGCACTGGATTTTGCAGGTGGCTCTGCCTGGGGGTTTTCAATACATCTGTGATTATCACTGACCCATTTTTGGAGGCATGCTGAAAACACGATCTTAAACATTACCAAGCAGCAAACTATTATGACAAGAAAGAAACACCCATGATCAGAACTTGATTTTAAAAGGAAATCTGTAAATACATCTATCATTAATGTCTATCCAACACATTAAAGTGTGTTAAACTACAGCAGACATTTCAGTGCATGATACAGCAATACCACGTGTATATTTATATCCACTAACCTTCTGTCTTCATTTTGTCTTGTAGGACCTCATTTCAGAGAGATTTATTCTGAAACATGACTTATTCTGAACACGTACTGACAGACACTTCAGGCCTTCCTCCTCAGATGCTCCAACCACCAGCGGTCTCCCATGTGACTGAGGTGGGAAACTTGGATATTTAGAAGCTGTGGGTGAGAAAACCTGGCCAACATCCACTAATCCTCCCTCTGGTGTGAAAACACAACAGAACTTTGGACAGCAAGGCAAGGTGGCACGTGTTCCACAACTCCTGCAGCAAAACACTGGTAGGAGCCCTTCTACTCTTCTCTCACACATAGCTAAGCAGAGCGAACTGACAAAAGAGTTTACTCTGTAATAGAATGGACTTATCTGAACTTGGGAAGCATGATTTAAAAAACAACTGCAGTAGGGAAACTAAAAGGATGCCTGCAGGCTGACTTTCAGATGTTCACAATGTAAAAACCTCTATTTGTCCTTTTCCAGTACGGCCTGTATACAAAAAAAATAAATGGATATATTTTTATTTGGTTCCCATTTCTGTTACTAAGGATACAGCCTTCAACACCTGCTAGGGTGTAATTAATACAAACGTCACATCATTAATAGGGAATTGTCTATCAGAATGAACTTAATTTTAACAGGAAAGGTAACCTGATGAACTAATAAGGGATTTCTTAAAGGAAAAACACAAGATCTCTTAAGACAAAGGTAACTTGTTACTTCTCCATTTAAGATCAAAGAAGGAAGGAGTACAAGGACACAAAAACAGACCATTTGAAGCTTCACTTTGCTCTCTAACACTTTTTTCTTTTCTTTTTTTTTTTGTTAAGCTCAGTACAACCTCTAGGTTCACCCTATAGAGAAAGAAGATGAAACAAGGGATGTCATACACAGCCCAAAAGAACTCTGGGCAACTTTGCTGAATGTGTTTAAAGCTACTGAACTTCACAATTTTTATTTCAGAAGTAAAATGATAAACAAAAAACAAAGCACTTTTAATCTTCAAAGTAATGTATGATCAATGACAGCTTCACAGCATTTGATTGTCAAGTATCATAATCTGTGTTTTACTCTGGAAGGAAAAGATGCATAGAGAATAAGTGATCTGCCCGGGTCTAATGCTGAAACAACGATGGAACTCAAACATCACAAGCTTGTACATTAAACCACAAAAATCACACTTCCATCTAGAAGCTTTTCTTTTGTCACCAATTTTTATTTGAGCAAATGATTATTATAATAAATAGAACACTTTTTTTCCAGCCCCTGGAGAAACATCAGATACACTGATGGAGGTACATCTCAGAATTATTTGGCTGTATCTTCAGCATAGCACACCAATTACCTTTCTACACCTCTGACATTCATTTAACCACTTCAAGCAGGTTACCTTAAAGAACTATCTGCTAGGGCCAGCCAACATATAAATAGCCTCATACTGGCAACACCTTCCTGGTTAAATTACATTTATAGCCCAAACATCCCACAGGAAATAACCAGCCTCTGGGTTAGGGCTGTGCTTTCTGGAAGGGAAGTTTGACTGGGTAAACTGAATCTGTCAATAGTCTTTGCTCTGCCTCATCTTTGCCCACCTAAATCACAAGGGATCTTTTCAAGAGGAGAAGCAGCACAACATTAAGATGGTACTGAGTCAAGGATCAGTTTAATGGTAACTCTACAACTGCCTGCAGTATGGGAAGTTTGGAAAAAAAAAAAAAAAAAAAAAGCTCAAGTGTTTGCAAATCAATTTTAAAAGTTTTGTCTAGAAACGTACACCTCCCTGAAACTGCAAGGAAAGATTTCCATTTAATTGCACAGTAAACTTAT